TTTTCTTCATTCTTTTTTGTTTGGTCATTTTTTCCTTCCTTCTGGTCCACTCCCTTGATTTGAGTCCCAGTTTCCTACCCATCACTGTTGGTTTCCTGTGCATTGCCCTTCATTTCAATTAGTTTAGCCTTCATTTGTTCCTCTAATTTGTGACTAAAATCAACCAGTTCTGTGAGCATCATGATCACCAGTGTTTTGAACTGTGCATCTGAAAGTTTTGCTATTTCTTGGTCTCTTAGAGTTATGGGTTCTGGGGCTTTGAGTTCTTCTTAAGCCATGTTTTGGTCTGTTTGTGCCTGTTAAGTATGAGGAGGAGATCCTTAAGTGTTCACCAGGGTGGGGCCACCCAGGTAGCTGGGTTGTGATGCTGTATGTGGAGGCGGGGTCAAAGAGGGGCAATAGTGGTCCCCTCTGCTGCTTCCCATCACTGGGGCTTGCACAGTCTGTCTCACTGCTTGCTCCTTCACTGGTTTATCTGCGTGCAAATGTGTGACCGTGGTCAGCCTGCCACCTTGCACCCTCAGTGGGTCAGCCCATTGCCACCGCACGCCTGGGATCCGTCCATGGCTGACTGTGTGCCTGGGTTGGGGGATCTTTACTGCCTGACCCTGCTCTGCTGCTGGCCCGCCCCTCTTACTGGTCTGGGTGGAGGGTTTGTTGTTGTCAGACTTCTGTATAGTTGAATTTTCTGTATTTTGCCTGTGTTTTTTGTTACTAAAACTTTATTGTCTTTAAACTTGGTTGTGCAAGAAGGCACAATGTTTCCACTTATGCCTCCATCTTGGCAGAAGTCCTGAGATTCTTTATTTTGAACTTTGCATGGTAGCAAGAAACCAGAGTTGTTAGGAGGTCTGGACCCAGACTTCAGAGTCTGGATGGTGCACCACTGGCTAGCTATGTGACTTTGGGTAAGTAACTCAACTCCTCTGGGCCTCATTGTAAAAAGAAGAAAGTCAGTCCTGCCTTTAGAATTGTTGCAAGTATTAAATTAGTTAATACATGGAGTGTGCACAGAACAGTGTCTGGCACTGTGCATGCACATTTCAGTAATCGTTACAAATGTCATAGATAGGCGTGCTCACACTCTGCATTTTCCAACTTTTCATAAAGGTCAATAAGCATCCGAAAATATCTCCAACTTTCTTCCTAAATAAAGTATGCACATTCAAACAACAGTAAGATAACCAATTCTATACATTATTAATACATTACTACAAATGAAGAGTGATGATTGATAAGGGAGGAGATGGAATGAAAGACACTCCTGCACAGTTGGTGGAGTGCAAGTATAAAGCTGTGTGTGTAAAAAAATACCTTAAAAGTTTTATACTCTTTGGATCAATAATTCCATATCTAGGAATCTACTGTAAAGAAATAATGTAATATTAGGGCACTAGTTTCCAAGATGTTCACAGCACTATGTGTAATAACAAAGAATTAAAAACTGCCTAATATGCATCATAGGGCTTATGTTGTAAGACTCTTGATGCTGATAGATATTTGTTAAGGAAAATTTAAAATTCCATTAAAATGACATTTGTTTAGTCAATTGGTATGTAATTTATGCTTATCTTAAGATATAAAATTATATGATGCAGCTATATTTTTTAATTCTTAGGAAAAAGAGAGGGAATATAATTATGAACCATTTTTAACAGTATTAATAACAATTGTTAACAATGGTTTTTTATTTTTAGAATTGTAGGTGATTTTTCTTCTGCTTTTTAAAAAAGACTATTTTGTGTTTCCACATATGCTAGAAAAGAGGGCTCTAGTTTATAGTTTGATTGGAGGGAGAAGACATTTGCCAGATGGTGGTGGAAGTTTTGAAATGCAGAGAAGGCTGAGCAGTGAAATTGACAGCAGTCTCAACTTGGGCAGCCAGCCAGGTGGCCGAGTTGCCATCGACAAGAGCATGGTCTGAGTAGGCCACTTAGGTTTTGCAGAAAGTAGAAAATACTTTTAAAGGCATGATTTGCTGCATAAAATTAAGGTTAACTACTAAATTATTATGATTGAATGCCTAAAATATTGTTTATGGTAGTATAAATGATGGTTTTATTTCAAGATTTTCTATAATTAAAATGAACAAAGTGGAAAAAAAAGATATCCATGCTCTTTTGGTAAGTAGTGAGTGCTGGAGGCTTTTTGATAGACTGCCTGCTTGTCCAACATGTGCTTGTCCAACAGGTGCCTGTATTTAGGGCAAAGACCTTCATCCAACAGTTTTCTTAAATAGGTGGTTGCTCAAATCAGAGAAGCCAGAGAGCTAACTGTCATGTCCAGCATGTGATGGGGTATTGTAGCCACCACTAGCATCTGTCACTGTTCTCAACATTGAGTAGGGAAAAATCACCAGCAACAACTTCTAATGAAGGAAAGTATCAACAACAATGAATTCCAATAAGCAAGCATTTCTTCTTTAGAGAGTTTGGAGAACATTTTATGAATCAAGTTGTTTCTCATCCATGTTTTTCAACATAATGATTATTTTCTAGAGGGTAAAAAGGAAGTTTGAGAGGTTGAGTGCCATGATTTGATCAGAAAGCTGGCAGAGTGAAACATTAATCACCTTTGTTGCCTCCATTCAGTCTAGGGTCCTGTCTGTAGCTTTCTTTGGGGCAGGGATTTCCACCCGCAGCACTTGTAAATGATGTTCCAGGAAGGCATTTGGGAAAAAGTCATGTTCCTTTGGGGTTGTTCACTGTATCAGTGGCCAAAGATTCTTTCCAGTTTCCCACCCAGATGGAATTTCTGGCAGCTTGGAAGTCTGGATGCTGACATGATAAAGTATAACATACTGAATTTCTATGCGTCTATGTGATTTCAGCTTTGATCTTCATTTTTTAATAATATATTTTCTTGATTATGCCATTACAGTTGTCCCATTTCCCCCCTTCATTCCCCTCCACCATGAACACCCTCCCCCCCCATTCCTCCCTTTAGTTCTTGTCCATGTGTCACAAGTTCTTTAGCTTCTACATTTCCCACACTACTCTTGCCCTCCCCCTGTCTGTTTTCTGCCCACCGTCTATGCTACTTATTCTCTGTACCTTCTCCCCCCTTCTCCTCCTCCCACTTCCCTGTCGCTAACCCTCCATGTGATCTGCATTTCTGTGGCTCCACTCCTGTTTTAGGAGTCCGCTTAGTTTGCTTTTGTTTTAGGTGTGGTCGTTAATAACTGTGAGTTTGCTGTCCTTTCACTGTTCATATTTTTATCTTCTTTTTCTTAGATAAAGCCCTTTAACATTTCATAAAATAAGGGCGCGGTGATAATAAACTCCTTTAACTTGACCTTATCTGAGAAAGGCTTTAATCTGTCCTTCCATTCTAAATGAAAGCTTTGCTGGATAGATCAATCTTGGTTGTAGGTCTTTGGATTTCATGACTTGGAATACTTCTTTCTAGCTCCCTCTTGCCTGCAAGGTCTCTTTTGAGAAATCTGCTGACAGTCTGATGGGAACTCCTTTGTAGGTGACTGTCCCCTTAGCTCTTGCTGCTTCTAGGATTCTCTCCTTCATTTTAATCTTGGCTAATGTAATTATGATGTGCCTTGGTGTGTTCCTTCTTGGATTCAACTTCTTTGGGACTCTCTGAGCTTCCTGGATTTCCTGGAAATCTGTTTCCTTTGCCAGATTGCGGGAGTTCTCCTTTATTATTTGTTCAAAAAACTTTTCCACTTGTTTCTCTTCCCCTTCCCCTTCTGGTACCCCTATAATTCAGATGTTGGAACATTTAAAGATGTCCTGGAGGTTCCTAAGCGTCTACTCATTTTTTTGAATTCTTGTTTCTTTATTCTTTTGTGTTTGGTTGTTTCTTTCTTCCTTCTGATCCACTCCATTGATTTGAGTCCCAGTTTTCTTTCCATCACTATTGGTTCCCTGTGCATTTTGCTTCATTTCCCTTAGTATAGCCTTCATTTTTCATATGATTTGTGACCAAAATCAACCAGTTCTGTGAACATCTGATCACCAGTGTTTTGAACTGTGTATCTGATAGGTTGGCTATCTCTGGGTTGCTTAGATGTATTGACTCTGGGCCTTTGATTTTTTTTTTTTTCTGTTTGAGCCATAATTTCTTGGTCTGGTCACAACTGTTATGTATGAGGGGAGGAGCTTTAGGTGTTTACCAGGGCCGGGCGACCCAGTTGCAGGGTTGTGATGCTGTTATGTGTGGGGTCAGAGAGAGAATAATGGCACTTGCTTTGCTCTGTCTTGTATTTCAGTCCCTCCTGCTGCTTCCCACAAACAAACTGGGCTCTTCTGGTGCTGGTTCCTGGGTAGGTGAGTTTGTATACATTCTAGGACCCTATGGGTCTCTCCAAAGAACTCTCCTGTAAGGCTGGGAGTCTCTCCCAGCACCTCAAACCCCACAAGTTTTTCCAATCTGTGCTTTTAGGCATTATTTCTCATTGCTGGGGCCCTGGGTTGTGTGGTCTGTCTCATTGCCCATTTTTTGCCTCGTTTATCTGAGTGCGAACATGTGTCTGTGGTCAGCCAACAGTCTTGTGCATCACTGGGTTTTCTTGTTTCCACCCCACACCTGGGTCTGCCAACCACTGCTTTTTCCTGCTGCAACTTGTCTCTGCTGGCTGCCAACTTTGCCCCTCTTGCTGGTGTGGATGAATGGTTTGTTGTTGTCGAACTTCAGTACAGTTCAATTTTCTGTCTGTTCTGGTTGTATTTTTGTTTCTAAATCTTTGTCGTCCTTAAATTTGGTTGTGCAAGGAGGCACAGTATTTCCACTTATGCCTCCATCTTGGCCAGAAGTGATCTTCATTTTTGATTATGTAATTAATCAGGTCTATGTCTGTCTGAGCCTGGTGTTCTGGGGGTAGATATTTTCCTGTTATTTTAGTCCTAAATAGTTTACCCAGTTTAAAAGGAGTCCAGAGTGTGAAACTTCAGCCTAGAAAAGTCAACATTCACTCTTCCAAAAAAAAAAATATATATATATAATCTCACATTGAATAACTGAGTTCCTATTTTATGATGTTTCAGGAGTTCGACCAAGATGATGACTGCAGTCATTCCATATTAGTTACTGAAGGAGGAGGTCCAGGTGGTGACGGGCCAGATTGGCAGCCCAGCACAGAAGGTATCTCGGCTTCTGTCCTTGAAGTGTTTACAAAGATAATGTGGGAGATAATGTGGATTGTTTGGATTTCTCCCATATTTCAGAAGCACTCAGTGCAGAACTTTGAAAACACAGAGAAGCACAGAGGGACTAGAAAAACGTTCATAATTCTATCCTTTGCTAAATGGCATCTCTCTGACGTCCCTCCTCTCTACTCTACCCCACTTCATCTCAACCAGCCATTTTATGCTCTTTTCCTTCTTGTTTGATGATATCTCTCCCTGCTTGACCCCCATCCACACCCCCATCCACTCCCTCACAGACTCTTCCATCAGCAACAAGGGTCTGCCTGTCCCTCTCAGAACCAGCTGTTTGTCCATCAGCTGTTGTCCCAGAGCTTCTCCCTTGAGGGGAAGATGCAGACTGAACAAGGCACTAGAGCTCCAAGTCTTAGTCTTTTATCCTATGAGGCCACACGTCTGGAATTTTCCAGAACAACAACTCATTCCAAATACATTATGCTGTCATATCTTTAACTAAGTGTGCTTGCATTTAACGGACCACGTGGCATTTTCAAATTTTTGCTTCAGAAAATGCTATACTCACCCTAGGGTTACATTGGTCTATCATGTTCACCTTTAAACTTCTTAAATTAAATGTTTGTTCATACTGTGCAATTTCTCTCTGGCAATTTTCTGACTTTCATTTCTAACACGCCAGGGAAGCTGCCCCCTTGGATGTCTTTTTTCCTCTCAGGACTGCGAGTCAAGGCGCTGTCTCCTCTGGCCCCTAATGCAATGCTGCCCTCTGCTGGGCATCCTTCTCAATCTCACTTGGAATCTCTTTCCAGGCTGGGGGTCTAGAATAATTTAGTAACATTTGAAATTATTAACGCCGTAAACCCTGAAAGACCTAATCGAAATAAACAAATTCTGGCCCCTTTCCAAACAGTCCTTGTGGTTGGCCTTTGACTTTCAAGGATTCAAAGCCAAGTTCTCAGATAGTCAGTTGTGTCCCAAGCACCTTCCAAGAGGTTAAATTCACTTACCCTGCTCAGTTTGGAGATGACTTGCCATTTGAAGTGCTAGGAATTCTCTTTAAGTCAGTTTGTAACATTTTAGATTTTCATATAGGAGCCCTAACGTAGCACCTCCACTAAGCTCTTGTGGTTTTAAGCTCCGAAACTTTGGGTTATTAAAAGAAACGTTTGTTTTCAAATTTTCTTCTCATAGTTGATAAAGTCTTCTGTTGAACTAGTTACTCTTTTCAAGGTCTAAAATAAAAATGTTTTTGGCATTATTGTGCACTGCATTCATCTTAGATATCAGTACATCTTTTTAAATCCCATTACACGTTGCTTCTAACATCCTCCAAGTGTTTAATGTTTAAAGTGCTGCACACCTTGTGAAGACCTCATGCATGTGCCGTAGGACTGATTGTTCTGTAGTAGATATATACACTTAATCACTTAACTTATATCTGCTTGTCCATTGTAGTATTTTATTAAAGGGATCATCACTAAAATATATACATATCTCCATGTGTGGATCACTCCCATAGACTTTAACGACTAGAGTTCATACACATCACATTTGCTTCAATAGAGGCTCTTACAAATGGTAATATGTAAATTACAATTTTTAGACTCCAAAACATCCCCTCATCTTTTTTGTTAATATAAAAATCTTTTATTCCTCAATCAGCTGTTTTCTCAGAACATAACAGATACAAACTTTGCAGATGGGAAATTAAATGTGTAAAATCGCTCTTTTCATAAGTAATTAAGAACCTATTTTCTCTGGCTGGTGTAGCTCAGTGGATTGAACGCAGGCCTGTGAACCACACAATTGCGGTTCGATTCCCAGTCAGGGCACATGCCTGAGTTGCAGGCCAGTTCCCAGCAGAGGACTCACGAGAGGCAACCATACACTGATATTTCTCTCCTTATCTCCTTCCCTTTCTCTCTAAAGATAAATAAATAAAATCTTTAATGAAAAAAAGAATGTATTTCCTGAAATTATGGGACTTAAATTTTTTATACTACAGTGTATATCTATCAAGATTCTTAGTTGCAAATAACAGAATCATCTGTAGCTGGGTTAAAAAAAGTTTTGAAAAGATATTAGAACATTGAAAAGCCAAAGGAGAAGAACAGACCGTAGGTTGGATTTGCAGAAAGAATTCTCATAACTGCACCTCGGAAGTGGCTGCTGCCGACCCGGATCGTGCCCCCTCCACCCTAGTGCAGGGGCTGCTTCCAAGTCACCTCGACTCTCCCTGCTGCCGCCTCCACAGAAAGGAAGCCTGTGCCTTATCTTTCTCCATGTTAATTATGTGAACCTGTTTCTCAAATTATTTTTTTGAACAGTGGCAGCGAAGGAGGCTGGAAAAAGGCAGTTTCTGAAAATTCTTTGTTGAGATTTATGACTTCAGAAGTTATCAAAACATGGAAAAGTTATCAAAATATTTTGAACCTTGATACCCATCAATTTAAGAGCAAGCAGAAAACACAGGAAAGTGAGACTTTTCAGGAGAAAATAATTTTTCTTTAATGAATGAATGAAGCTTGGCCAACTCTTGTTTTCATTTTAATAATGGCCTTTACATTACAAATTAACAATCATTTTTAGGCTATATGAATGTCATTTTTACCACTTTTGTGAAGAAATTGTTTCTGCTTGTGTTTAAACATTGTCTTAGTTTTTCCACTGCAACAGTTTCTGGTGGGGTTAAGTTATACCTTCTCATGTGGGAAGAGGCACTCAGGCGCAAATGTTTTATTTTTACCCAGGACAATGCATCATCTCTCCTGGCCCACTGGGTTGGTTCCGAGTCTCCCACAGCCATTCACAGTGTTCAAGAGACGAAGCAGAACACATTTGTATGTTCCCACCTGATTTCAGAGTCGGCACGTTTCATAATTTCTTTTCCCACATAGAGCCAATAACTTAAGGGGCCATTAGCTTTTAACAACTTCATAAAAAGCAGGTATTTCTCATACCTGCTTATTGTATCTTTGTTCTTTGGTGTGAAAAAGAAGTTGACCAATTAACAGACTTTTGAACACATTAGATTTGCTTTAAAATCTTCTGGTTTTATTAGTCCTCAATAATTGTAAAAATAGTCATTCTTAAGAACATGTTCTTGTGAGTACACTGCATGGTTCTCTGAGTTCCATAGCGAAGTGCTAACTGCACCCTGCCTCTGAAATTCTTTTCACTGACAGTTGTTAGGAGTGGATGCTGTATGTTTTCTTACTTTTAACATACTAGTTAGGTTTTTGCGCTCCAGGATGATTACAAAAACGTTATGAAAGACATCCATCTTCCTTTCTAGTGCGAGGGTGGCCCAGATCATGCCCCATGACCTCACAGGTGTCAGCTTCCTTTTTTCTAAAATGAAGGGCTCACAGCAGCTTTTTTAGTTCTATTTGTTTCACATGGTGTTGTAAGCAAGCATCGATTCTATAAATTGGAACTTTCTATTTTAAGGGTTATACTCAGAATCATTCCATGGAATTGGACAGGAGATCACCAAAATTGCAAATATGAGCAAGTTCCCATGGAAATACATAAATTATCCCATTTAATTCTCATGGCAGTCTTCCGAAGGAGTTGTTGTCAGTTACACTTTGCAGAGGGAGACAAGTTTTTTATATTATAGGGGCAGCATTGCTCACAGTGAAACTTTATTTTACATTTGGAAAGTTTTGTTCTCTCTCTCTCTCTCTCTCTCTCTCTCTCTATATATATATATATATATATATATATATATATATATATATATCTTCAAGCAAGCATTTACTTGTGACCTATCATGCTGAATAGAAAAGATACAAACATGGCCAAACCTTCTGGTTAATTCCATTCTGTAATCATTAAGAACACGTAGATTAGCCAAATAACCAAAAACAATGTCTTCTTTTGGTTGCCATTGGAATTCATTGCTTTCTTCTTTTTTCTACTGTTGTCATACATTTCTGTAGGTGTAGAGAATGTTGTTACATTTCCAAGAGATGGACATCATCCCCGGAAAATGAGCCAAGAAGATATAAAAGAAAACAAGTAAGGAATATTCTTTGAAATGTTAGATTGAAATTTAAGTATGAAATTATACTTGTGTGGTGACCTACGTTTTTAGCAAGCCAACCAAAAAGAAAAAAATCTACTTCTGGTCAAGATGGAGGAGTAGGTAGACACACGGTGCCTCCTGACACAACCAAAAGAAGGACAACAACAATTTAAAAACAAAAAATAACCAGTGCTGACAGAAAATTGAACTGTATGGAAGTCTGACAACCAAGGAGTTAAAGAAGAAACATCCATCCAGACCAGTAGGAGGGGGAGAGATGGGCAGCCAGGAGGAGAGAACTCATGGGAAGTCGTTGGTTGTCAGACCCAGGCGATGCGGTAGATTGTGTAGCAGGTGGTCACACATTCACATGTGGATGAACCAGGAGGAATACCTGGGGAGTGAGACAGACCTCGCAACCCCAGGCTCTAGTGCAGGGAAATAAAGCCTCAAACCACCAATTGAAAACACCAGTAGGGGCTGAGGCAGCAGAGGGAGAAACTCCCAGCCTCACAGGAGAGTTTGTTGCAGAGACCCTCAGGGTTCTAGAATGTACACACGCCCACCCACCCAGAAATGAGCACCAGAAGGGCCCACTTTGCTTGTGGATAGTGGGGAGTAGTGAGTGGAGCAAGCACCACTGTTCCCTCTGGACCCCTCCTCCTCAGACAACTTCACAACACAGGGACGTGAGTTGCCCTGTCCAGGTGAACACCTAGGGCTCCACCACTTAATACATAGCTGGTGAGCAAAGAGAAAGAAAAGGCCCAAATGGAAGAACAGATCAAAGCTCCAAAACAAAAATACAACTAAGTGACGAAGAGATAACTAACCTCTCAGATGCACAGTTCAAAACACTGGTAATCAGGATGCTCACAGGACTGGTTGAATTTAGCTGCAAATTAGATGAAAAAATGAAGGCAATGCTAAGTGAAATAAAGGAAAATGTACAGGGAACAACAGTGATGGGAAGGAACCTGGGACTCGAATCAACGGTGTGGACCAGAAGGAAGAAATAAACATTCAACCAGAACAGAATGAAGAAATATGAATTCAGAAAAATAAAAAGAGGCTTAGGAACCTTCAGGATATCTTTAAATGTTCCAACAGCCAAATTATAGGGGTGCCAGAAGGAGAAGAGGAAGAGCAAAAAATTGAAGACTTTTCTGAACAAATAATGAAGGAGAACCTCCCCAATATGGCAAAGGAGTAGATTTTTGGGAAGTCCAGGAAGCCCAGACAGTCCCAAAGAACTTGGACCCAAAAAGGAACACATCAAGGCACATCATAATTACACTACCCAAGATTAAAAATAAGGAGAGAATCTTAGAAGCAGCAAGAGAAAAGGAGATAGTTACCTACAAATGAGTTCCCATCAGACTGTCAGCTGATTTCTCAAGAGACCTTACAGGCAAGAAGGGTCTGGAAAGAAGGATTCCAAGTCATGAAAGCCAAGGACCTACATGTAAGATTGCTCTATCCAACAAAGCTTTCATTTAGAATGGAAGGGCAAATAAACTGCTTCTCAGATAGGGTCAAGTTAAAGGAGTTTATTATCACCAAGGCCTTACTATATGAAATGTTAAAGGGCTTTATCTAGGAAAAAGAAGATAAAAAATATGAATAGTAAAATGACAGCAAACTCATAGTTATTAACAGCCACACCTGAAACAAAAACAAAAGCAAACTAAGAAAACAACTTGAACAGAAACAGAATCACAGAAATGGAGAACACATAGAGGTTTATCAACAGGAGAGTGGTGGACTTCTGGCCAAGATGGAGGTGTAGCTGGAAACATTGTACCTCCTCGCACAACTAAGTTTAAAGACAACAAAGTTTTAATAACCAAAACGCAGGCAAAACACAGAAAACTGAAGTGTACGGAAGTCCAACAACAACGAACCATTAAGCCAGACCAGTAAGAGGCACGGAGTCAGCGGCGAAGCAGGGTCACACTGAAAAAAGTGGCCAGACCGACCCAGGCCTTAGGTGCGCAGTCGACGGTTGGCAGGTCCCAGGTGTGGGGTGGCAACGAGTGGACCCAGTGGGGGTGCAAGGTAGCTGGCTGACTGCAGCCACACAGTCGCATGCAGATAAACCAGGCATAGGATCGAGCAGTGAGATAGACTGCAGAACCCAGGGTCCCAATGATGGAAATTAAAGCCTAAAAGCAACAACTGGAAAAACTTTTGGGGTCAAGGTGCTGGAAGAAACTCCCAGGCTCACAGAGAGTTTGCTGGAGAGACCCACAGCGTCCTGGAGGGTGCACAGGCCCACGCACCTGGAAACAAGCACCAGAAGGCCCCAATTTGCTTGTAGGAAGCAGCAGAGGGGACCAAAATCCCAGATAGAGCAGAACAAATGCCATTGCTCCTCTTTGACCTTACCCCCATATACAGCATCACAAACCAGTGACCTGGGTGGCCCCACCCTGGTGAACACCAAAGGCTCTGCTCCTCATACGTAACAGACACAAACAGATCAAAACATGGCTCAAGAACAGCTCACAGCCCCAGAGCTAATAAATCTAAGCGATGAAAAAATAGCCAAATTTTCAGATGCACAGTTCAAAACACTGGTGATCAGGATGCTCACAGAACTGGTAGATTTTAGTCAATAATTAGAGGAACATATGAAGGCTAAACTAATTGCAGTGAAGGGAAATGCACAGGAAACCAATAGTGAGGGAAAGAAAACTGGGACTCAAATCAAGGGAGTGGACCAGAAGGAAGAAAAAATGACCAAACAGAAAAATATGAAGAAACAAGAATTCAAAAAAATGAATAGAGGCTTAGGAACCTTTAGGACATCTTTAAATGTTCCAGCATCTGAATTATAGGGGTACCAGAGGGGAAGAGGAACAGCCACAAGTGCAACACTTATTTGAACAAATAATAAAGGAGAATTTCCCCAATCTGGCAAAGGCAATAGACTTCCAGGAAATCCAGGAGCTCAGAGAGTCCCAAAGAAGCTGGACCCAAGAAGAAACACACCAAGGCACATCATCATTACATTAGCCAAGATTAAAATGAAGGAGAGAATCCTAGAAGCAGCAAGAGATAAGGGGACAGTCACCTACAAAGGAGTTCCCATCAGACTGTCAGCTGATTTCTCAAAAGAGACTTTACAGGCAAGAGGGGACTGGAGAGACGTATTCCAAGTCATGAAAATCAAGGACCTACATCCAAGATTGCTCTATCCAGCAAAGCTTTCATTTAGAATGGAAGGACAGATAAAGTGCTTCTCAGATAAGGTCAAATTCAAGGAATTCATCATCACCAAGCCCTTATTGTATGGTATATTAAAGGGACTTATCTAAGAAAAAGAAGGTAAAAAATATGAACAGTGAAAGGACAGCAAACTCACAGTTATTAACAACCACAGCTAAAACAAAAGCAAACTAAGCAGATAGCTAAAACAGGAGTGGAGCCACAGAAATGGAGATCACATGGAGGGTTAGCAACAGGGGAGTGGGAGGAGGAGAAGGGGGGAGAAGGTACAGAGAAGGTAGCATAGATGGTGGGGAGAAAATAGGCAGGGGGAGGTTAAGAATAGTGTAGGAGATGTAGAAGCCAAAGAACTTACATATATGACCCATGGACATGAACTAAATGGGGAGAATTGTGGGTGTGCAGGGTGGAGGGGCATGAAGGGGGAGAAATGGGACAACTGTAAAAGCATAATCAATAAAATATATTTTAAAAAACCCAAACAACCAACCATGGGGAAAAGAAATAAATATTCATTTAGCATATTAAAAAAAGAAGAAGAAGAAAAAAATCACCTGAAAGCAGGGGTCATAATAAACATTATTGTGGCAGGGCCCAGATAAATGTCTGTGGGCTTTGTGGTTTCTGTTGCAATGATTCATCTCTGCAGTTGAATCTTGACTGCTGCTGTGGACTGAAAACAGAAGGGTGCGTGGCTGTGAGCGATCAAACTGCAGAAAGGGGCTGGAGGGAGAGTGTGCTTTCCCTGCAGCAGTGCTTCTTACAATGTGGTCCTGTGGTCCTTCTGTTACCAGTCCATGAGGAAGTCAGCATAAACTTGAAAATTTGCACATTTAAAGTTGTATAGCATCTGACAAATTAATGTTATGTTTATGGACCTGGTAATGAAAAAAATTGGGGCTTATTTTGGTTTGATTTTTGTTTCATTTTTATGGTAATTTGCCTTTATTACATTTTACAAAAGTATTAGGCCACAGTGGACTGGAAAATTTAAAAACTGGTCCTTCTCCAAAGATAGTTTAAGAAGCACTGGGCTGGTTAACACCCTTGGAGACGTGAAAGGGTGCCCTTGGCCACTCTGCTCAACATAGGGCCTGGGACAACTAAAGTGTGGGGTGCAGGGGCAGACGGTGCAGGGAGCAAGTCAGAGGGTGGAGCGGTCTTGTCCTTTCAGGAATGCAGCCTCCTCCTCAGCAGCACCATGTAGAAATAGTCCTCCCAACTTTCCAGTGACGTCAGGCTGGACTGAGTCAGAGATCCATCAGACATGGAGATGTGTTGTAAATCCAGCTGTTTCCTTCTCCGTTAGTCAGGTAACACCAGTGCATCAAGACTGGGCACAAGCACATTCTGTTCCTCTTCCCAATGACATTGAATTGGTGGACTTGGGGACAAAGGTGCCGACCACACAGCCTTCGCTCCTGAGGAAAGAGGAAAGCACCAAGGAGAACTACGATGAGAACTTGGGCTCCTTGTTGCCAAGAGCTCACTTAGAACCCAGCATCTCCAAGTCTATAGCCAGGGAAGAAGTTCCTCATTTTCTGGAAGGCCAGCAAAGAAAATCTGAAGGTGAGTCCATTCAGTATCTTGCTGTGTATAATGTGTACTTTTTTGCCCAAATTTCTGAGGGAAAAATAAGGATGCACAGTATACCTGGGTATGATGATTACATGCTATGGGGTTGACAATGGGTAATCCATGTGTAATGTGCACAAAAATATGGGTGGGCATCACACATGAAAAAATATGGTAATTACACAGTGGTTCTTTTATTCTTCATTTAAGAAATGTTTATCTTTGTTCAAATCCTCACCCAAGGATATGTTGATTGAATTTTAGAGAGTGGGAGAGAGACAGAGAAAGAGAGACAAAGAGGGAGAGAGACAGACAGAGAAACATCCATCACGTGCCTCCCACACGTGCCCCAACCGGAGGTCAAACCTGCAACGTTTTGGTGACAGGGCGACACTCCAACCAACTGAGCCACCTGGCCAGGGCTGCTTATCTTTTTCTTGAGTGTTTGAAAACCTTTTCTGTGAACTCATATTTGTTGATGTTAATCTATGGGAATCTTGGTGGCCTCACTGAGGATGTTTTCCTGCAGGATTTGAGTTTGCCACTCTTTCCAGCCGAACACTTAATTACCAGTTAGCAGCCCAGGTGCCAGCATTTCCCCTGAGGGCAATGCTGATATTTTGATATTTGCTTACTGCTGTCCTGAACCAGCAGGCCACCCACCCAGGACAAACGTGTGATACCAAAAGTTACATTTGTTGGCTTATTGCAGTGAAGGAGATCCCATGGCACAGGAACTGTGAGGCGTCTGGTCAAGCAAAGGAAAAAAATAAAATTGTGATTTTAGGGGGATGGGTAGAGCTTAAGTGAAATTTAAATAGAGCAGTATTTTATTATAATTTAAATTTTTATTGTGGTAAAGTGTATATAACTTAGAAGTCACTACTTTACCTGTTCTGCATGTACAGGTCAGCGGCCCTGAGCACATTCACATCGCTGTGCGGCCATCACCACCGCCCGTCCCCAGAGTGTTTGCACCTTGCAGAATGGGTGCTGTCTCCTGATTGAACCCTAATTCCCATTCTCCTCTCCCCAGCCCTGCTAGCAGCCGGTCGACTTTTTGTCTCTATGAGTTTGTCTATTCTAGGTATTTCATATAAGTGGAATCAGACAATATTTGTCCTTTTGTGTCTGGCTTATTTCAGTTATCATAGCGTTGAAGCAATGTTTGGGTAGGCTGTGTGTGAGGGTGTTACCATCAGGTCTGAACTGTGACATAGACTCAGAATCTTCCTCCTCAACATCAGCAAAGGTAGCTCCAACTCTCAGCAGCCAGTCGTTGGCTTCCTATCTTGCCCCCGTTCCTCAGAAGTACAATAGGAAGCACTACTAGGGACTTCCGCCAAGATGGAGGCGTAGGTGGAAACACTGTACCTTCTCGCACAAGCAAGTTTAAAGACAACAAAGTTTTAGTAACAAAAAACGCAGCTAAAACACAGAAAATTGAACTATATGGAATTCCAACAACAACAAACCCTTCAGCCAGACTGGTAAGAGGGGCGGAGCCAGCAGCAGAGCGGGTCGGGCAGGAAAGACCCACTGGACCAACCCAGGCGTGTGACCCAGGTGCGCAGGCAGCCATGAGTGGATCCCAGATGTGGGGTTGCGATGGGCAGACCCAGTTGAGGGTGCAAGGCAGCAGGCTGATTACAGTCACACATTTGTGCACAGATAAACCAGCGAAGGAGCAAGCAGTGAGACAGACTGCACAGGCCCCAGTGGTGGGAACCAGCAAAAGGGACCACTATTGCCCCTCTTTGACCCCGCCCCCACATACAGCATCACAACCCAGTGACCTGGGTGGCCCCACCCTGGTGAACACCTAAGGTTCTGCTCCTCATACATAACAGACACAGACAGACCAAAACATGACTCAAGAAGAACTCAAAGCCCCAGAGCCCATAACTCTAAGCAACCAAGAAATAGCCAAACTTTCAGATGCACAGTTCAAACTACTGGTGATCATGATGCTCACAGAACTGGTTGATTTTAGTCACAAATTAGAGGAACAAATGAAGGCTAAACTAATTGAAATGAATGGAAATGCACAGGAAACCAATAGTAATGGAAAGGAAACTGGGACTCAAATCAAAGGAGTGGACCAGAAGAAGGAAAAAAATGACCAAACAGAAAAGGATGAAGAAACAAGAATTCAAAAAAATGAGGAGAAGCTTGGGAACCTCCGGGACATCTTTAAAAGCTTTCAACATCCGAATTATAGGGGTACCAGAAGGGGAAGAGGAACAGCCAGCCACCAGTGGAAAACTTATTTGAACAAATAATAAAGGAGAACTTCCCCAATCTGGCAAAGGAAATAGACTTCCAGGAAATCCAGGAAGCTCAGAGAGTCCCAAAGAAGATGGACCCAAGAAGGAACACACCAAGGCACATCATAATTACATTAGCCAAGATTAAAATGAAGGAGAGAATCCTAGAAGCAGCAAGAGCTAAGGGGACAGTCACCTACAAAGGAGTTCCCATCAGACTGTCAGCAGATTTCTCAAAGGAGACCTTACAGGCAAGAAGGGGCTGGAAAGAAGTATTCCAAGTCATGAAATCCAAAGACCTACATCCAAGATTGCTCTATCCAGCAAAGCTTTCATTTAGAATGGAAGGGTAGATAAAGTGCTTCTCAGATAAGATCAAGTTCAAGGAGTTCATCATCACCAAGCCCTTATTATATGGAATGTTAAAGGGCTTTATCTAAGAAAAAAAAGATAAAAATATGAACAGTGAAAGGACAGCAAACTCACAGTTATTAACAACCACACCTATAACAAAAGCAAACTAAGAGGACAGCTAGATCAGGAGCAGAACCATAGAAATGGAGATCACATGGAGGGTTAGCAACAGGGGAGTGGGAGGAGAAGAAGGGGGGAGAAGGTACAGAAAATAAGTAGCATAGATGGCAGGTAGAAAATAGATAGGGGGGAGGGGAAGAATAGGAGGGGAAATATAGAATCTAAGGAACTTGAGACATGTGATCATAAACTAAAGGTGGGGAATGGTGGGGGAGGGTATGTGCCGGGTGGAAGGGAATTAAGGGGGGAAATAGAACAACTGTAATGGTATAATCAACAAAATATATATATTTTAAAAAAAGCAGTACTAAACACCTTCCATTCCCAGAACAAATGTGTAAATATTTGCACATAGTGTTGTTTTTCTGCTGGAACACTATGCTATTCTTAGATGTTATCTGAGATACCACTTCCTCTGCAAAGTCTCCCTGAACTTTCTGAAGACTGGGTAAGTCACCATTTCTTTTGACCCCTGTAGGATCCTGCAACATAACACTCATCATGTTGAATTGTCACTATTTGTTTATACGTCTGCCCTTACCACATTACAAATGCAAAATCATTGCACCTTCAAGCACCTAGCACCAGACCTGGTGCAAAACTATTAAAAACTGTATATTGAGACTTCTGCCAAGATGGAGGTGTAGGTGGAAACACTGTGACTTCTCACACAACCAAGTCTAAAAACAACAAAGTTTTAGTAACAAAAAACGCAGCCAAACCACAGAAAATTGACAAGACGGGAGTCTGACAACGAAACACTCAGCCAGACCGGTAAGAGGGGCAGAGCCAGTAGTGGAGCAGGTCGGGCAAAAAAGATCCCCCTGACCCTGGCGCAAAGGCAGCCAAGGGTGGATCCCAGATGTGGGTGGAGCAATGGGCAGACTCAGTGAAGGCGCAAGGCGGCAGGCTGATAAACCAGCGAAGGAGTGAGCAGTGAGACAGACCGTACAGGTCCCAGTGGCAGGAAGGAGCAGAGGGGACTGTTATTGCCCCTCTCTGACCCTGCCCCCACATACAGCACCACAAACCAGCGAACTGGGTGGCCCCGCCCTGGTGAACACCTAAGGCTCTGCTCCTCATACATAACAGGCATGAACAGATCAAAACATGGCTCAAGAAGAACTCAGAGCCCCAAAGCCGATAAATCTAAGTGAACAAGAAATTGCCAACCTATCAGAGGCACAGTTCAAAACACTGGTAGTCAGGATGTTCACAGAACTGGTTGATTTTAGTCACAAATTAGAGGAACAAATGAAGGCTAAACTAATTGAAGTGAAGGGAAATGCACAGGAAACCAATAGTGATAGAAAGGAAACTGGGACTCAAGTCAAGGGAATAAATAAAATATATTTTAAAAAATAAATAAAAATAAACAAATAAAATATTTTTTAAAAACTATATTGAAAAAAAACTATATTGAATTAAAAATAACAACCATTTATTAAGTTTCTACTATTGCAAGGCACAAAATATCCACTGATAGAGGTAATATATAGAAGACTTGTTTTACTAATATGAGGAAACTGAGCCCTAAGAGGGCTAAGTGTGTGTACCCAGGTCACACAGCTGGTGAATCATGGAGGGTGAATTACCCGGGCCACCTGTCTCTGAAGCCATAGTGCTTAAGCACCATGCTATCTGTTTTCATAGTTCCCACCTTTCATCTGAGTCCATGTCTAGTTATGAGTGAAGAAAAGATTAAACGTAATTAATGTTGTAGTGCAGATGGTCACAGGGGTGTCTAACTTGCTAGCCATGGGCCGCATGCAGCCCAGGATGGCTGTGAATGCGGCCCAACTCATAATTGTAAATGTACTTACAACATCATGAGATCTTTTTTTGTGATTACATGCCACAATGTATTTAATTGTGGCCCAAGAAAAACTCTTCTTTCAGTGTGGCGCAGAGATGCCAAAACATTGGACACCCCCCAGGAGAAAGGAGGGGCAGTTGGTTCAGGGACAAACTGCCTGGAGTGTGGATGGAAGGACTGAATTGGATGGGACAGGAACACCCTCTTCTCCCAGCCAAACAGCAGAGGATCCTGAAGACGGAGCAAAAGTAACTCTGCACACCCAGATGAGAATACACGTGGTTGGGTCAATGTTCTGTAAGGGGAGCTGCTCTATAGGAGCTGTATTCCTGTTTGAAAACGTCAGCTGGGGTTTCCCAGGCCAGTATTTGCCCCTACCCTTTAAAAATTTTGTTTAAATGCAACTTCAAAAAATTTAGACAATCAATATATATTGATTAAGAAAAATTCAGGCACTGACTAGTGTGGCTCAGTGGGTTGGCTGTTGTCCCATAGATGGAAAGGTTGCCAGTTCGATTCCCAGTTAGGGGATGTGCCTGGGTCACAGGCCATGTCCTCAGTTGGGGTCATGCGAGAGGCAACTGATTGATATTTCTCTCACACATTGATGTTTTGCTCCCTTTCTTGCTTCCCCCTTCCCCTGTCCCTAAAAAAGGTAAGTAAATAAAATCTTTCTTAAAAATTCAGAAAAGGTAGATAAGCAAATATAAAAAATAAAAAATTAGAAGTACAAGTTATATTCTAAAATCATTTCTTCTAGAATGTACTTCCATTTTTCTAGATAACATGTTTATAATGATATTGTTTGATTGTTCAATTTAGACCTTACCTATTAGAATTTAGCACTTTTACATTAGTCTCCTCACGCATGGGCAGTACCCCATCTTCTCAATATTTGTGTTTAAAAGAAATCAGTATTCACAGTGTTTATTATTATGACTAGGTAAAATATTTACAGCTGAGCTCAGCCATATGCTATGATTACATTTTCTCTCAGAAGAGAAAATGTTGTATTTATTACAGCATTAATAAGTGCCTCATTTTATTATTCACTTTCTGTGAATCCCTCCCTAATTCGCCCCATCCTGTCTGGTGGACCCGTGGAGTGCAGGTGCACGTGGGTAACCGGTGGGTAGTAGTTTTGTCTCTGGAGACGTTGCTGCTCCTGGAACCCTCTGCCCTCCCGCAGCCGTCTGTCTGGGATTCCCTCACCACCACCCTGAAACGTCCCTTGGCCTCCCTGCTGCATTGGGCCCTGGGTACTGGGTGGATACTCAGCTTCCTCTTCCTTGATTTGCTCCCTCATTTTAGTGGGCACATTTCCCAGTAGCTTCCTAAGAACAGTGCATTAATGATAGTTTTTCATTGTCTCCATTTCCTCTGAGCTCTTTACTTTCTTTCTGTTTGTTTTATCTTCTGTATTTTCACATTTGAGGCTTTCCCTCACATATCAGTTCATCCTTGGCTATCTACATACTTGCATTTAAGAGGGCAACACTAAAAAGTGCGGAGCACTTGAGGGCTTGCTGAGCAGGTCAGGTGAGGGATTCCTGGGTGTCAGTGTGCACTGCAAGGCTTCTCTCTCAGTGAGTTTCCCTGGGAACAGATTATCCAGGCTCCTGGCTGCAGGTTGTAAGGCTGGAGCTTCACATGTCAGTGTGCACGTTTTCATCGAACCCTCTAGTCCTCTCTCTAGCACCCCATTTCTGCTCTCAGCTGCACCTAGCTCCTTAGCAGCTTTATTTCAGGCTCTCCAGAGGGTAAACTTCCAGCCCCCCACCAGGGATGGGGAAGAGCAGCTCCTGTCCAGTGGGGCATGTCAGGGAATCAGGAACCTACTCCTTCTGCAGACTTACAGGCAGTCCTTGTTTCAGCCTCAGCTGCACCCTCACCTTCAGAGGTACCTGGTGTTTTCAGTCCCTATTGCTTGTCCTCACTTCTTGTTCAGTTCTCCCCTCTGCAGGCAGTGAGCCGACTAGAGGATGCTGGCAAGTTACTAACTACTACCCACCCATGTGGTTTTCACTGGCCAAAGTGTGTTGGTGTTGCTCATCGGCTGCTTTATCCTCTGGGTTTCTGTTGTTCTTACTCATACCTTTTAAAATTCCTTTACTGTCATTTTAGTGAGGTTTGTAAAGGGAGTGAAGAAAGGTCTGTGCGCTCAATCTTTTAACTGGAATTCTATATACAATTATAAAGGCTTTCAAATTACCTACCAGAAAGATGTTGTATCTGCCTCTCACCAGAAATGCTTGAGTGCCTTTCTACCACATGTCATTCATTTTCAATACTGGGTGGGTGTTATCTGCCCAAATATTTATAATAATATCTGAAAAGAACTCCGGAAGGTATCCATATGCACCCAACTATAAATTATTTTCACTTGTATTTCTAGCATTACTTTGTAGTATCATTTCAACAGAAAATCTCAGTCTCTAGAATATCATCTCTATGAGGGTAAGATTTTTGTCTGTGTTGTTTACAACTAAATTGTCATCTTCTGGAACAGTGCTGACCACTCAGTAGGCACTTGGTATCTGTTGAACGAGTGCATCACGGGTTGGGGGGAGGGGCCTTGGCCGCTGCCGCTAAAGGGGAGGCCTCTGCCCCTCCAGCCGTGGCCCTCATTTCAGGTGACCACCTTCCACCTGAGAATGGCTTCTTTACCTGTGTAGATGTGTTACATCTTAGAGAGGCCTGTTTCTAAATGAAATTTCAAATAGCAGCTGTGGCTAAAATTGACCCACAGACATATTTTGTTCAGCCTTTAGAGTATTCTAAAAAGGGGTGGCAGAACATCAATATCAAAGAACCTATGCACCACAATGTTCATAGCAGCACAATTTACAATAGCCAAGAGTTGGAAGCAACCTAGGTGCCCATCAGTAAATGAATGGATCCAAAAATTGTGGTACATTTACACAATGGAATTCTATGCTGCAGAGAGAAAGAAGGAGCTACTACCCTTTGCAACAACATGGATGGAACTGGAAAGCATTATGCTGAGTGAAATAGGCCAGGTGCTGAAAGACAAATACCATATGATCTCACCTTTAACAGGAAGCTAAACAGCAAAACAAACAAGCAAGCAGAAAAAAAAAACAAAAAACAAAGACACTGAAATAGAGAACAAGGGGATAGTGACCAGAGGGGAGAAGGAAGGGAAGTTAAGGGGAAAAAGGGGGAGGGATTTGGAGGAACAAATAGGAAGGACACAGGGACGAGAACTAAGGGGGGTGGAAATGGGAGGGAGGTGGGGAGCAAGGGGCGGGGGAGGCTGGGATGGGAAAAATAGACAAAAAACTGTACTTGAAAAATAACTAAATAAAATTTTTAAAAAAGGGGTGGCAGGGGGAGATTTCATATAAATTCTCCAGTTTTCTGTCTTCTCTTGACAATGTGGAGGTCTAGTGTGGTGGAATAGACAACATCAGTTAGAACTTGGCAATGGATCTCCCTTTGGTTGGGCACAGGATTTCAGTTTACCACTGTCGCCACCTGTCCCACTTGATCCACTTATGGGACCTGCTTTGACTCTGGACACATCGGCACTTTTTGTTTCAGCTTCAAGCTATGGTGGTGCATGAGGTTCAGGGGACCATTCTTACTTTTGTTAAAAAGACAAAAACTAGGTTTTACACTACTTTAGTAAGTCCATTTCCCCTTTCTACGTACCTCCCCTTCAGAATTTATGATATATTCCAAGTTTGAGTTCAAATGGTGGTTGGGAGACAATCATACATGAATATTTTCACATTTCTGCAGAGTCCCCACTTTCTGAGCAAAAAGCACTAGGAAACTAGCTTAAAAGATGATTCAATGATAAGCATGTCTTAGAAATGAGAGATAGTGTCTTGCTCCAGAGAGATTCAGAGGCTTATTTCCTCAGGAGCTGTTTGCTTACATTCTAGAGCAGTAAAACCCAGAGACACATTTGTCCTTTCTCATGGAAACATTTGCTTACATTTCATAGTAAAGATCTCTTTCTTGGGAAGAAAACATGGGTCGAAGTGCCGAACACTTTATATAAGCTCTGAGTCTCATAATTCCTGTGGTGCAATCATGAGACTCGGAGCTGTGACGTCCAGGTGAACATCTGACTCTCAGTGAGTCGCCCTGTTGAAGCTGGGGTGTCGGGACCTGGTGTTGAAATGCCGTGTGAGTAATACTTACTCTGTTCTCTGTTCCAGAGATCTCGTGTTTCCTGCCAGAATGTAAATATAAATATATATCAACATATATACACACATAAATGTTATCTATATAAGACACACATATAACCTACATGCATGTGAGAAGCAATATCATATATAAAACGACAACCCCCTTTAGTGGAAGTAGCCTAAGGTTTTACGTAATCATATCAGACCCACCTCCACGTGGATTACACCTGGAATAACTCCTAATTTCGACTTTTTCAAACCTCAGCACCAAGAATACTCCATCACCAAACTCTGGTGTAAGGCAGACTGGGTTCAGTCAACTACTAATAATATCTAACTTATATTATTTTTTTCTTGTTATAGAGTTTTCTACCTCTGATGTGAAGTGCAGCAGCCGAAGAATTGAGGTAAGATTTGTTTTAGTGTTACTGTCTTAAGGATTATCACCAAAGAACTTCTGTTGTTAGAGACTCTCTATCAAAGAACTCAGAACCAAAATTCTCAGCACTTGTTTCTTGGAAATACAACAACTCACATGTCATTTATAGAGTAGCAAATCACTTCTGGGAAAACTGTACCTTGCCATGTATATATTCCTTTTCCGGGATGTTTCCTCTTCTCTGTGTAACGAGGTGAGTAGTTTCCTTAGAGATGCTTAAATTTGTCTTATAACACATTAGAAATTAGGTCATTCTTTTTTTCCAGTGAAAGAAGGGTTTTTCTAATTGTCTAATTTATGAGTAAAGCATTTGGAAAGATCCTTGAAATTCTGTCAATTCTGTCTAACTCTTCTGTGTCCTTTCAGAAGATGAGCCTTTGAGAAAATGCACAGGTACTGCTTATAGTTGTAAAAAGGGTTTATTGGCCTAAAAAAAATGGCTGCTTGTGGGGAGATGCTTGAGCACTAATGAAATGGGAATTACACTACATCTCATCCGATTCTAAAGTTTAAGTTTCTGGTGTCAGCTTCCTTTCCTTTTCCTTTCTTCTTACACACAGTTGGCAACAGAAGGAAAAAGAGACATATAGCTCTCAGTTACCACTCAAGATCTAGCCTATGATTAGTCAGATGTAATTGAGTATTAAATTTGTATATGCAGGAAAGGGTCTCAATGAAAAGAAGCATAAAGTTAGAGTTTAAAGCTTAATGACCTGAACGCTATTATACACTGGGTTATACTGACCTCTAGTGGTTGATAATAAGAAAAACTAGCTTAGTTTGAAACTAACTGGAGGGCAAAGGAAATGAGAAACCATCATGGTTGCAAACTTTCAAGTGTATACTGTAGCACATTTAAAACCTACCCTCAACAAAAGTTTGGTAAAACAATGAGGAGTAGTTGTGTTCTGGATACAAATTATGAGTTAGTCTGTAACTCATCATTAAAGTACACGAAAACAGCAATTTTAAGCTGTTCTAACTGGGAATTTAAAAAATCTTAGATCAAGTTCTGGCCAAGATGGAGGCGTAGGTAGAAACCCTTCGCTTCCTCGCGTAACCAAAAGGAGGATCACAGCCAATTAAAATCAATAAACAACCAAAAATGCCAGAAAATCAAACTGTATGGAACTCTGACAACCAAGGAATTGGGAAAAAATCACCCAGAACAACCAGACTGGTGAGGCAGCGGACCACGCGGCCAACTCAGGAAAACCTCCTTGACCCACAGACCGTGGGGGCTGGGCTGGCTGCCGAGGGGCTGATTAAGGGGAAAACTGAAACTCAGAGCTGGCTGTGGACCACGGCTGGGGTTGCCGTGGTGGGAGAAACTCCCAGTCTCACACGAGAGTTTGTTGAAAAGTGCACTAGAGATGAGCTGGGGGGCACCACTGTTCCCTCTCTGGCCCCTCCCCCACAGGCAGCACTTCAGGGCAGCAACAAGGGTTGCCCTGCCTGGGTGAACACCTAAGGCTCCACCCCCATACAACCTCTCAGCTGCCCCAAGACAAAGAAATATGGCCCAAATAAAGAACAGAGCAAAGCCTCAGAAAGCTCAGAGAACTTAAGCAAGGAGGAGATTGCCAACCTATATGCTGGAGAATTTAAAGCCCTGGTAATCAAAATGCTCACCGATCTGATTGAGCTTCATTGAAAAATGAAAGAACAAATGAAAGATACCCAAAATGAAATAAAGCAAAATATTTGGGGAACCAACGGTGACAGGAAGGAAACCAGGACTCAAAACAATGATTTGGAACAAAAGGAAAAAAATAAACATTCTTCCAGAACAAAAGGAAGAAACAAGAATTCAAAAAAGTAAAGAGTGTCTTACAAATCTCTGGGACAACTTGAAACATTCCAATATCTGAATTATAGGGGTCCCAGAAGAAGAACAACGGCAAGATATTGAAAACTGGCCCTGGCCCGTGTAGCTCAGTGGATTGAGCGAAGGTCTGCGAACCAAACAACTGCGGTTCAATTCCCAGTCAGGGCACATGCCGAGGTTGCAGGCCAGTTCCCAGCAGGTGGCGCATGAGAGGCAACCACACATTGATATTTCCCTCTCTCCTTCCCTTCTACTCTCAAGATAAATAAATAAAATCTTAAAAAAAAAAGAAATTGAAAACTTATTTGAACAAATAATGAAGGAAAAGTTCCCCAATATGGCAAAGGAAATAGACTTCTAGGAAGCCCAGAGAGTCCCAAAGAAGTTAGACTCAAAGAGGAACACACCAAGGCACATCATTATTAAGTTACCAAAGATTAAAGATAAAGAGAAAATCCTAAAAGAAGCAAGGGGAAAGGAGAGAGTTACCTACAAAGGGGTGCCCACTAGGCTATCAGCTGATTTCTCAAAAGAGACCTTGCAGGCAAGAAGGGGCTGGAAAGAAGTATTCCAAGTCATGAAAGCCAAGGACCTACATGCAAGACTGCTCTATCCAGCAACTCTATCATTTAGAATGAGGGGACAGATAAAGTGCTTCCCAGCTAAGGTCAAGTTAAAGGAGTTCATCATCACCAAGCCATCATTATATGAAACATTAAAGGGACTTATCTAAGAAAAAGAAGATCAAAACTATGAACAGTAAAATGACAACAAACTCACAACTATCAACAAATGAACCTAAAAGAAAAGAAAGCAACAAAAACAAAAACTAAGTAAATGACCAGAACAGGAAAAGAATCAGAGAAATGGACATCACACGGAAGGATATCAGTGGGGAGGGCGAAGGGAGGAATGGAGGGGAAGGTACAGGGAAGAAGAAGCATAATTAGTAGGCATAAAAATAGATGGGGAGAGATAAAAATGCTATAGGAAATAGAGGACTCAAAGAACCTATATGTACAACCCATGGATATGAACTAAACAGGGGTGGGGGGTGATGCTGGAGGGTGTGGGGGCAGGGGAGATAAGGGGGGAAACTGTAATAGCACAAATAATAAAAAATACTTAAAAAATAAAAATAAGAAATGAAAAATTCTTAGATCATCCCTGGCTGGGTAGCTTAGTTGGTTATAGTGTCTTCCAAGATAGCGGGTTTGAGCCCCAGTCAGGGCAAGAAGCCACCTATGAATGCCTAAATAAATAGAACAACAAATTGATCTCTCTCTCTCAGTCTTCTCTCTGTCTCTCTCAAATCAATAAATAAGGAAAACTATTTTAAGGAAATCTTAGATGCTCTGGAAAATAAAAAGAGAAGAGAAATAAAATGTCTTGTCTTATATTTTTAATATTTACATATGTGGTCTTTCTTTTAAGCATGAATCTCTATGATAATTTTGTTTTCTAAAAGTATCATTTTGCCTTGTTTAAAAAAAAAACACTAGGAATGACCTTTTAGCTTTTAAAATTGTGATCTCCAGGATAGCTTTGAACTTCCTAAGCACAGGGCCTTCCTAAAGAAAATCTTAGATTCTCTTCAGATTACTTTAAACCAGTTCACATGATATGTGTATGTGTTTCTGTACTCATTAGCTTTTTCTCTCTTTCCTTTTAGTTTCCTCTACCACCATTGTCACTCTTGCCCATGAAACCTGGTCTTTTCACTATCCCCCAAAGTCACAAGGATGAAAAAGAGAGAGGAAGAAATACTCCAAGTCTTGTATCTAAGCTCTCAGAGCCTGTTAGTCGATCTGATGAGTTTAGACCATCAAACAAGCAACCAGAAGCATCATTGAAGGTATTTGTATATCAGACTCTCAGGTCCTCTGACAGCTCTGTCTGGTCCAGAAACATGTGCTCTTTCCGGAAGGCTAACCATCACAGACAGAACCTGGAGATGGAGGAGAATAGAGCATCTAAGGAAACAGAAGGCTGTGACAAAATGCAAATCTCTCACCTTGAACAAAGGCAGTCTTGGGTGTCCTCTGAGAGTTTTAAGGAAGGCAATTTTCCTGCGGATAGAGAAGTGGATACTGACCACCTTGGTAGTGAAATGAGAAAGTCAGAAGAAGAAAACTTTCAATATCTCTCATCAGGAAAGGTAGAGGGTTCTGTAGCCAGAAACTATGAACGAAATTCAGACATTGGGTGTACCATGCCAATCAAGTTCCAAGAAGCTCAGCATTCAGAAATAACCCTAAGAATGGATAAAGAGACTGGAAATGATAAAGATGATTCAAAAAGTGCTTCAGTGCTTAAAGGTGAAGTAATTGAGCCAAATCAGATTTTAGAAGACTTTACTCTCCTTAAAAGTTTGTCCAGTGTAATTCCTGATGATCCCATTGAAAGGCTCCCAGGTCATAACAAGATGGAGGCAAACATAAAAACATCAGCAGCAGAGGCAACCAAACCAGAACTGAATGGGATAGTGCCCCTTATCCACATCACTTTCCCTGGAGATGAGATTCCCAAGCAACCAACAATAGCCAAACCAAGCCTCCAAAAGAGAAAGGGCACCCTTCACAACAACAGTAGGTTCAACATACTTGCACACCAAGAAAATGACAGGCAAAGGATGAAAACCCTTAGAAATAAGTCAGATTTGAAAACCAAGACCAGTAACAGGACACTGCAGAATTTCATGATTTCCATTGAAGGTTCCATTAAGCCTACCACAAATAAAACCAGCATAAAAACTCAAGTTTTCCCTTCTTTGGGGCTGATTGACCCCAGACCTCAGCAATCGCCCAAGTTCCAAAGGAGAATGCCACAGATAGAAAAGAAGCAAGCAACTTACCAAACTCTGAAACCTAAAAAGCAACCATTTCCCTGCATCTGTAAAAATCCAGGAATAAAAAAGTCTTCAGTTCCTCTCCTTGTTCAACCAACAGAACCAAGACTAAATTACCTAGATCTTAACTATAGTGATATGTTCAAAGAAATCAACTCAACTGCTAATGGACCTGGAATCTATGAAATGTTTGGGACCCCTGTTTATTGTCACATGAGAGAGACTGAACGGCATGAAAGCAACTGTTACCGAGAGATATGCTCAGCTCCATCAGTCAGATGTACCACCAGTAAATGTCTATCTTCACACAATGAGAGGAACCGCAGTAGCAGAACAAGACTTTCTCAGAAAAGACCACATGTTAAACCCCCCAAGACTTTACTTGGAATTAAACACAAGCACAAAAGTTTAATTTCCAAAGAAAAAGGTTGCAAGACTGTGGGTAGCAACCTACAAGACATTGAAAATGGTGGTGTTTCAGAACCAGAGTGTCAGATGAAGTCTTCAGGAAGAGACTTTCTGCCTTCCAAAAATGAAGCTCAGCTCAGGAACTTCACTCAGACTCATGAGCAGTCCATTAAACAGAACCAGTTCCTTCCTGTCTCAGATTTGTCCATTGTTAAGGAAGCCTCTATGGAAGAGTCTGCTGATGAAGAAGACATTTCTAGCAACCAAATACTCACCACAAGCCTCAGAGATCTGCATGAACTGGAAGAGCAACATCACCAGACCCCATTTTTCCTTTCAGAAAGCAGCAGGGCAGTGCCCAGTGAGAAGAGTTTCAACAAGCATATACTGCAAGAAAGGCAGACTACAGCATCTCTTGGTGAAATAGATGCCAACCAAATTTTAATGGATGATGTAGAGTTTGATAGCTTGATAGATAAGTCTAAAACACTTGTGAATTTTTCTTTCCAAGAGAAACAAGCCAGTCAACATTGGGCACATTCTTTGGAGCACGATAGTTTAGCTGATAAGTCAGTTTCATATCAAACATTTGAAAAAACTTTAAGTGATGCAAATTCAGTTTCCCAAGATCTTCTAGACTCTATAAAGAATGAAGAATTGACAGATGAACTGTTAGGTTGTCTGGCTGCAGAACTATTAGCTCTTGATGAGAAGGATAACTCTTGCCAGATAATAGCAAATGACACAGATCCTGAAAACCTAAATCTTGTCTTCAGTAAGAGAGGAAATGCCACACGAGAATTGGGTGGAGAGACAACGAATGCCAAAATACAGGTTGGTATAACTAGGATCAGTGGTTTAATGGGGGTGGGAAAGACCCCCAGAGACAATCTGGTTCAAACTCCTTGTTTTCAAATGAGAGGAATCAGAAATCCTGAGCAATTAAATAGTTTCATTCAGGTCTCATTGTTTGGTTACGAGTTTGGAATCCAGGACTGCCGACTCTCAGGCTAAAAATGTTTTCATTATGCTGCTTTACTTCTGGAATTTAGCTAGGCTGACACTGCAGTGGAAAAATTGGGGGTATGCTAATACAGCAAAACCACTTATTTAAATAGGTGAATATTTTATACAGTGATGAAGTTTTCAGTCAACAAATATCAGCAGTGGTGACCTGACTGGTGTGGCTCAGTTGGTTGGGTGTTGTTCTGCAAAGCGAGGGGCTGCAGGTTCAAGCATGTGCTTGGGTTGAAGGCCAGGTCCTCAGTTGGAGGCGTGTGAGAGGCAACAGATCAATGTTTTTCTCCCTCCCTTACCCTCGCTCTAAAGATAAAGTCTTTAAAAAAAGAGAAAAATATCAGCACTGAGATAACTATGAGTAAAACATTGCTCTAGGTGGTGTGTGAGTGGAAAGAAGTGGCTCACCATCTAGTTTACCACAAAAATATTGGTGGTGGCTACTGTGTTTCTGGCCCTGGGCTAAGAGCCGGAGACATGATGGGACACAAGACTTAGCCATTGCTCTCAAAGAAGCATAAGCAAAAATCTTGAAAAAAATTTAAGTCTGTTTGGCATGGGAGTGAGGAGAAGAGAATCAACAGATAAGTTCGTTGGGTTTTGTTAGTTTGTTTCAGTTCTCACTGAAGTACATGAGCCCCTGTTCTCAAATTTTACAGATAGAAACCGTCAGTTTAGCTGAAATACTACTTATGAGTATTAACTCAGGTTATATCATGGTACATCAGGATCAGGAATAATTATTTTAAATAGTTGCTCAAAAGAATACACTAGGTAAATTATACCATGACTAGGTTTACTGAGAGCTTACCACATATGAGTGAGAGGGATCATACTATCTCCTTTATCTGCTTCATAACAGCTCTGTGAGGTAGATACTAAAGGTACTAGCAAGTTCCCATGTTGCAGATGAAGAAATTGAACTTTAGAAGATCATCCAGTTAGTGAGTGGTGCGCCAGGCATTCTGATTCCATCCTCACAGCTTTAATCACGTAATCACGGTGGAGATATTCCTCATCTTACAAGGCCAACTCTGCCTTCACAGTGATCTTGGTCTCCGCTGGGAGGTAGGTAGAGATTCAGAGAGGCCTTTGGGCTGGGGTGGGACGTGGGGGTACGTGTGTGCCCGTGTGTCTGACGTGGGTCTACCACTCTGCCTTTCCAAACTGAAGAAAAACTAATAAGCTACTAAATATAATCACTCATAACCCCACCTTACAACTGTGGAGTCAAAGACTGACCTTTTCTTTCTCAAGCAGTCCTTAAATTTTAGTTTAGATAGAGAAACGTGAGATGATGGGGGTGGGAAACCCAGATGGCTCTTGGGAGGCACAGATGCCCATTTGCCAGGAAGGTGACCCTATATTATGTCTTGTTCCCCAAGTGCCTTCGCCACACCTCTGCATCACCGTGATTGTTCATGGTTAAAACCCAGTGCAGGAGATCGGAACAAAGCATTTCTGGTCCTGATCAACCAGAGGGAAAACATGGTCTAAATTCTACACAGAGATACTTGTTTTCTCCTTTCTAGGGAAGGGTTTACTATGAATGCAAATCTCTTGGGGATCATGTGAAAATGTAGACACTGATTCAGTACGTCTGGGGCCTGAGATTCTGCATGTCTAACAAGATGCTCCCAGATAATATCCATACAACTGGTCTGCAGATTCTCCTTTGAGTATCAAAGGTCTACAAGGCCATGGATCTTCAGGTGCAAGACCTGTTGCACCTGGTCTTGACCACTAGACTTGCTCATTATGGCTTGTGTGTGCGCATGAAAGAAAGTCTTTAATCTATGTGTATTTGTGTGTAAATGTATGTATGTGTATACAAGTGTATGTATATATGCTTGTGTAAATATGTGTGTGTTTGAGTGTGTATGTGTTGTGGAAATAAGTGAAGAACAAATGCTTTGCTATTCACTATAGCAAAGCAGTCAGCCACCATCACTTGCATTTGGCAGCAACTCAAGGGCAGGCAGAGGAATGGGAAAGTTTTTTAGTGGAAAAAAGGGAAAGCTTCAGGTATTCCTGATTGAAGGCTGTTGGCATGGGGAAGCTGTAGGCCGGCTACCTAGAAGGGGCATCCTCTGTGATGGTTAGGGGCACATATTTGGCTTTCTCTAGTTAGTTGATCTTAAGTTAGTCAAAAGGAAGACTGACTCTGCTCTCTACCTCTCTACCCCAAAGACTCAAGTCTAATGGTGACTTTTCTTTTTGTCTCATTCCTCCAGAGACATAATAATGGGTTCAAAATATATGATGAGAAATTTCTCAATGAAAAGATCTTTTCTGAAAATAGTTTAATGTATGAAGAACCTATCCTGTGGACCAGGGGTGAGATCCTTGGGAAGGGCGCCTACGGCACAGTAAGTTGAATGGGACACAAGATGAAACCAAAAATCCCCAGCCCTCCTCGCCCCCTCCTTCTCTGACACTCTGAGTGAGCCCCTACAACCCCACTTCCTACTCTTTTGTTTAGAACTATTTCAGTTGGAAGTAACAGGAAACCCAACCCAAAACTGGCCCAGGGAAAAGAGGTCCACTGCTTCGTGCAGCTGAAGGACCTGGAGTAGGTGGGGCACCAGGGACAGGCAGTTTCAGGGGAGAAACCATGTCAGCAGGAGAAACCATGTCGGCCTCTCTCATCCCTCCTTCCAGCTCTCATTGTCAGGCTCCACGTGGTGGTGCAGTGGCCACTGCTTTTCTAGCCTCTCATTCTCTTAGGTTCACATCCAGTGGGAAGGGAATCGCTTTGTTCAGCCACCCAGAATATGTTACTACAAGTGGTGAGAATCATGGCAAAAACAAAAGATGTTTCTTACCTTTTGTGAATTGTGAGAAAGATCACTTGAAGTCCTAATACTACAGATAGTATTTACATAGGTTGGCAAGGAAAAGACGGACCCCCGATAAAGCATGTTGCGTTTCTAGCTGGAGACATTTGAGGAATCAGTGAAAAGGCAGGAAGCATGAAACCACTGAAATCACATGACAGAGAGGGCGGCTGAATTTTCTCAGGACCTGCCTTCCTCTCTCTCCTTAGAGTTTTAGCACCAAAGTAGCCCTATTTCATTTATTACATGAAGATATTTCCCAAACCACAATCTCATGTAGTCATCATAGCTATCTAGGAGGTAAGTATTATACCTCTGCTTAAATGACTGAGAAGTTATACAACTGGGGAATGGGGGAAGCCAGGATTCTACCCCATCCAGGCCATTATGGCGCCAAGCCATTATGATATCCATGCAACACATTGCTCCTCCCCAGCTTGGCTCCATTGAAACACTGAATTATATTTAATCAGAAGGTGTTTGTTTGCTTCTAGGTGTATTGTGGTCTAACTAGCCAAGGACAGCTAATAGCTGTAAAACAGGTGGTTTTGGATACTTCTGATAAATTAGCTACTGAAAAAGAATACCGGAAACTGCAGGAAGAAGTAGACTTGCTCAAAGCACTGAAACATGTCAACATCGTAGCCTATCTGGGCACATGCTTAGAAGAGAACATTGTAAGCATTTTCATGGAGTTCGTCCCTGGTGGCTCAATCTCTAGTATTATAAACCGTTTTGGGCCATTGCCTGAGATGGTATTCTGTAAATATACAAAACAAATTCTGCAAGGTGTTGCTTATCTCCATGAGAACTGTGTGGTGCATCGAGATATCAAAGGCAATAATGTTATGCTCATGCCTACTGGAATAATAAAGTTGATTGACTTTGGCTGTGCCAGACGTTTGGCCTGGGCTGGCTTAAGTGGCACCCACAGTGACATGCTGAAGTCCATGCATGGGACTCCATATTGGATGGCCCCAGAAGTCATCAATGAGTCTGGCTATGGGAGGAAGTCGGATATCTGGAGCATCGGCTGCACTGTGTTTGAGATGGCCACAGGGAAGCCGCCACTGGCGTCCATGGGCAGGATGGCAGCCATGTTCTACATCGGAGCACACAGAGGGCTGATGCCTCCCCTACCTGAACACTTCTCAGAAAGTGCGGCTGACTTTGTGCGTGTCTGCCTAACCAGGTAAGCAACTCAAAACAGGAGGAAGATAAATTACTAAAGATTTCAAGCAGCTGACATTTCCCCTGCAATTTATGACCCTTTCAACCCCCCTCCCATTATGAAGAGAAGTAGGGAGTGATTTTATGCTGAAAGGAATCATTATTAGCTGTTTTGGGTGATTGTGTCCCTTGTTGGATCACGGTGTGGGGGGTAATGCTTCAAGTAGAAAGTGCCACAATTAAATGTCTTACAGGGTTCTAACAATTCTTCCCCAAGTCAGCAGGTGTGCTAAAGATCTACATACTTACCTATAAATGGGATGTCTTCCCTGGGATGGGCCAATGTGAAATGACATCACCTGTGGTTAGGTTTCCCTTCCCTCTCTTGGAACCAGTGTTCTCATTCCCTTCCTAAAACCAGCTCATAGAAAAATATGTGAGAAGTTAATTCATACACCAGGATTGATATGAATTGATTGGTTGATTAATAAATGACTGACATTTAACGTATTGGTTTCCCCGGAAATACTTCGATTTAAAGTGAGGATAAACATTTTGAGCCAAAGGAACAGGTCCCTAATTAGAGCATGTTAAGCATCAAGTTGGGGAGTATTGGCAAAGCAGAACATCCCTAAGAAGTTGCCTTTCTCCTGTTATTTTTTAATATATTTTATTGATTATGCTATTACAGTTGTCCCATTTTTTCCTCCCCTTTATTCTCCTCCACCCTGTATGCCCCACCCCCACCAGCATTCCCCCTCCTTAGTTCACGTCCATGGGTCATGCATATAAGTTCTTTGGCTCCTACATTTCTTATACTGTTCTTAACCTCCCCCTGTCTATTTTGTACCTACCAATTATGCTTCTTATTCCCTGTAGATTTTCCCCATTCTCTCCCCTCCTTTTTTCCAGTTGATAACCCTCCATGTGATCCCTAGTTCTGTGATTCTGTTCCTGTTCTAGTTGTTTGCTCAGTTTGTTTTTGTTTCTTTTTTTTAGGTTCAGTTGTTGATAGTTGTGTTTGTTGTCATTTTACTGTTCATATTTTTTTTGGTTGGTTTTATGGTCTTTTTTTCTTTTTCTTAGATAAATCCCTTTAGCATTTCATATAATAAGGGCTAAGTGATTATGAACTCCTTTAACTTGACCTTATCTGGGAAGCACTTTACCTGCCCTTCCATTCTAAATGAAAGCTTTGCTGGATAGAGCAATCTTGGATGTAGGTCCCTGCCTTTCATGACTTGGAATTCTTCTTTCCAGCCCCTTCTTGCCTGTAAGGTCTCTTTTGAGAAATCAGTTGACAGTCTGATGGGAACTCCTTTGTAGGTGACTGTCCCCTTATCTCCTGCTGCTTCTAGGATTCTCTCCTTCGTTTTAATCTTGGCTAATATGATTATGATGTGCCTTGGTGTGTACTTCCTTGAGTCCAACTTCTTTGGGATTCTGAGTTTCCTGGACTTCCTGGAAATCTATTTCCTTTGCCAGATTGGGGAAGTTCTCCTTCATTATTTTTTTCAAATAAGTTTTCAATTACTTGCTTTTTTTCTTCTGCCACGCTATGATTTGGATGTCAGAATGTTAAAGTTGTCCTGGAGATTCCTAAGCCTCTCCTGATTTTTTTGAATTCTTGTTTCTTCATTCTGTTCTGGCTCAATGTTTATTTCTTTCTTCTGGTGCAAATTATTGATTTGAGTCCTGGTTTCATTCCCCTGGCTTTTGGTTTTTTATACATTTTTCTTTATTCACTTTGCATAGCCTTCACTTCTTCCTCTAATTTGTGCCCATATTCAATCATTTCTGTGTTTTAAACTGTGCATCTGATAGGTTGGTTATCTCTTCTATTTTTGTAGCTTTGATCTGTTCTTTCATTTGGGCCATATTTTTTTTTTGTCTCAGCATGCTTGTTACATAGTAAGGGGTGGAGCCTTAGGTACTCACCAGAGTAAGACAACCCTGGTCTCTGCTCTGTGGCACTGTATATGGGGGGTGGGTGCAAGAGAAAACAATGCCACTTGCTCAGCTCTTGGGTGGGTTACAGTCACTTCCCACACTACCCACAAGCAAACTGTGTCCTTCTGGTGCTGATTCCTGGGTTGGTGGGTTTGTGTATGTTCCAGGACCATGTGGGTCTTTCCAACAAACTCTTCTGTGAGGTTGGGAGTTCCTCCTGACGCCACAACCCCCACAGATTTTTATAGCCAGAGGTTCTGAGGTTTTATTTGTCTGTGCTGGAACCCTGGGTTGTGTGGTCTGTCTCAGTTCCCAGTTGTTTCTCCTGGTTTATCCCATGCAAGTGTGGGACCAATTGGTCTGCCAGCCACCGCCTTGTGGCTCTGTCCTCTCTGCCCTGGCTGCCTATGTCTGCCCCTCCTACTGGTCTGGATGAATGTTTCTTCTTTAATTCTTTGGTTGTCAGACTTCCTTACAGTTCAATTTTCTGGAAGTTCTGGTTATTTTTTGTTTTTAAATTTGTTGTTGTCCTTCTTTTGGTTGTGTGGGGAGGCAAACTATGTCTTCAGGATAATTCAGAACAGCCTGGTAAGGATCAACATTTAGATGCACTTACAGGATGAGGAAGACTTGAGGCCCAACCAAACAGTATTTCTTGCCTTTTAGTGAATTATGCTTTCTTATTCCCAGATGAAAAGTTCCGGTGCTTTCAGCAAGGATGTATGGCAATCTCCAACTCCCAGAGGGGTCATTATGTCTTTCTTAGTGAATCTCAGGATGCACAGGTTTCCCTCTCCTGGCACAAGTACATCAAAGTGTGCTGGTTGACTTCAGATCATGCAGGTCAGGTCGGCAACACATACCCCAGGGGTGCAGTCCTGGGCATCTTTAGATGCAGAGACACCATAAATTTACCAGCATCAGTTTTGTGGGCAGAGCCCCAGGCACACACTGCTCCATCCTTCCTTGCAAAATCACTTCTGAGACATAAAGGTATTAAGAATATCATATGGACCAGTACCAGTTTTAGAGTTTGGTCTCAGCTCTTAAAACTACTGTAGTTGCTTTGTTCTGAATTGAATAATTAGCTATTATTGAGAAAAAAAAATTACTTGCTATTCTCATTTTCTTTCAAGTTGTCGTCACTCACATATGGAGCATCTTTACACAGGTGTAAAGAGAAAGTGTAAAATCTTTCTTATGACTCTGCTTTTAAAACATTTTTTTATAAACTAAGCAACACACAAATCATACCACTAATAATTAATAGGGTTGCTGTGAAGGTTAAGTGAAATGGTATATGCAAATTGCTTAGCAGAGTATAAAGCACATAATTAGGGCTCCTTGGTCAGTAACTGTTAGGGAGAATACTAACCCACCTTACCTAATTGTGTCATATGCAAGCCTATAATTATCTCCTGAAATTCTATGGCAAAACCCTAAGTACTCGAGAACCTGATGTGTATGAGAGTACTCCTTGGAGTGTGGATAGTCAGAGGTAAAGGGGTAAGGCACTTTAAAGTCAGGATGAGCGCAAGAACTGGACAGAACAGAAATTCATTTCAGGGAGCAGTAAGTGTTAGGTCAGAGTTGCTCAAGAAACCAGATGGACACAGCGAGCCAATGAGCAGGGTTTATCAGTGGGGAATAAGAGGGGAAGTGGAGGCAACCAAGGGAGGTTGGGACTCACTCAGTTGTTCTTAGTGCAGGGTTTTTAAGCGCAAAAACCCTTGAAGGTTAACTGGCTGGGTTTCAGAGTCTGATTGGCTAGAGCTGGTTGCTGGGTGCCATTTCTGCTGACCATTGTTATTGATACATCTTGTCAGCCTCAGGTTAAAGCTTCATCCTGCTATGCTGGATAGGCCGATCCCAGACCCCAATCTTAGCCAGGCATCTGTTTGTCCTGGGGAGGGCTGGCAGGCAGTTTCCCAGGCAGGCAGTTTCCCATGATAATTTTTCATTCCTCCTAGGTCTGCCTAGGTCTGTCAGTAAGAAGTAAGCATGGGTGGGGATATTCCCATGGGCAGGCTGAAAGCTCTGGGAAGTGAGGCCACAGAGTTTAGCTTTGTTGCAATAGGCGGTGAGGAGCAGGGGACTGCAGAGGATTTGGGGCAAACAGTGCCATGAAGGAGAGTATTTGAGAAGGCAGGTCAGAAGCATTGTACTGTGAGTCCTCAAATAGAGGCTGCTTGAGACTTGACACTGTAAAGAGAATTCCAGAACACTTCAGGGAAGATGAATCAGAACTTGGTGATGGAGGATGATAGGATTTCATAGTTTTGAATCTGGATAATGGAAGAAGTTATAATAAAAAGTTGTGAAAGAGAAATAGAGGAGGAAGTTGATGAAGGTCCCTACATCTAAGGAAGCATTTGAAGCTATGGAATTGGATTTCAGGAAAGCAACTAAGTTTGGAGGCATGTATTTCAGAATCATAAGACTAGTAGCTATAGTCGTGAAAAAAAAAAACTAGAGGCTGAGGACAATGTTTATGAAAGTGGAAGAAGATAACAATATACATATAGCATTAAGTCTAGCACATAACTGGTAAAAAAGGAAAGGAGGGAAGAGAGAAAGAGGGAGGCAAAGGAGTTGTTCCAAGGCAGATGAAGAACCAGGTAAAGACTTTCTTCTGTCTAAGCAGAGATCATTTCAGGAAGGAGAGGGAAGTGAATACTTCAATTGCTGCAGAGATGACCAGGAGAATACATTAATTAAATTTGGGAATGAGGAAGCCATGTGTTTTTTTTAAAGATTTTATTGATTCGTTTTTAGAGAGAAAGGAAGGGAGAGATAAATAGAGGGAGACAAAAATCTATATCAGGAAGAAAAATTGATTGGTTGCCTCTCATATGTGCCCTGACAGGGGCATGAATTCACAACCCAGGCATATGCCCTGACCAGGAATTGAACCGGTGACCTTTTAATTTGTGAAATGATGCCCAACTAACTGAATAGCACCAGTCTGGGCATCATGGTTAGTTTTAACAGGACAATTTCTATGTAGAGAGGAGTGGGCCAAAAGTTAAGAATTTAAGATAATGAATGTTGAAAAAGTCACTGGTTTTGGGC